CAAGGTCAAACTGATGTGATCAGTAAATACATCTTTTTAAACGCCACAACTTTTATCTGAAACATTTTTTTCTAAAATGCTTAGTTTTCGAGATATTTCACCGGTCCGGGACTTTTTGAACACCTTGTATAACCTTATATGCACATTACAACTATCATTTTACTACAAAAATATCGTTAGAGCTAAAAACTATGATTTTAGTTAAATCAACCATTTTTTCTCTCAGTATACCGGTTCAATCAGAAACATTGTTATTGATTCACTTTGAGAGAGCAGACTATCCAAAAAACAAGGAAGCGATAGGAAATATACGTTACACCGTCCGCCATCGATACACGTTACACGATATATCATTGAAAAACGCAGAACTTTTGTCAGTGGAATATTATTCGCGATAAAGTTTATTCCGGGACCCTAGTTGGTCGTATAGTGCGGCCCGGAATACGATTTCTTTTAGACGCGAGGCTAAGGAAGCGTAAAACGAAAATCATCACTACGCCGTGACCATCGCGTTCCATGCAAACTTCACGCGGCGGCGCTCGTAAACGATTGAAAAAACCGCGGAAACCCGATATTTTCACGATACATTATTCAACCATTCGAACCATTCGGCAGATCAAAAGCCGCCTTTGATTGTACAAGGAAAAACATGACGGTTATACAAAGAAAGATCGTGGTTATGTAAATGGAAATAGCCCAGTCGGTCGTTATGGTAACGGAATCCTCTGTACAAGCATCGAAATACATTATTTATCTCGGCAACGCGGCGCTCGTTCGTGACGAGCAAGCACAGGTGTCAGATTTTAATAATCCAGGTAGATATATGGGAAAAGCAGTGCGCGAGGCCGCGTCGGAAATATCCGACGTAGCTGAAATCGCGGATAATTCGATCGCTTCGTAATGCAGCTTCGATGAGGACGATAAATTACACTCACGTGAAGCGCAAGCCTATGAAATCGATATTTTCCGAGTTCAACCGCTCCCCAAATGATTTACGCGTGTGTATGTGCGATAAGTGTAAAAATAGAAGAAACGGTAAACTTAGTTTTACCGACGGCGAGTTATGCGCTTGACACTGAATCAGGACAGGTTTATTAACGTAAATCTAAGTTTACTCGCGTTTTCTATCTTTATCCCAAACAGTAGTGTGTGCGCGCTAATCGAACTCTGAGTGTGAATAAAATACTAGAGATGTATGTTTGGAAGCAACCACTTAGGGAAATATACAGTGCCACTTCCAGCTACATATTCTCTGACTCGAAATACGAACTCAGGCACGCCCCCGGTAGAAATTGAGAGTATCTTCTGATCTCATGAGATTATCTCCCTCGCCGATTAAATCTCGAATGAAATTTCTATTTAACTCCATTAAACACTAGTTGCGAATGACATTTAGATAACTGTGTACATTCTCCGGATCTAATTTCTCTGAATCTCTTAATTTTGCATAAATAACGCTATAAATAATGCGAACTGCTGATTCTTTTAAATTTGGATTTTGATATCTGTGGCTGGAAAACTGTGCACTAAGAAAAAAATATCTAAAAATTTATTCGTGGGATACAAAGTCAATTTTTGTGAAATAAACTATCATCCCTATAAAAATAAAATTTCGAGTATTGTTTCTCATCGTAAAACATATACTTTATGCCATTAAGTTCTTTTATACTATGGAAGAATTCTATAGCTAAATATATATTATATAGCAATTCTACTGTGATTTAATTTGGAGCCCATTAAATGAACATTCTTTATTTGTTGGATATTTTCTCTCAAAGTAATAATCTTATAAAATTTCGCTATTTCGGTATGAAAGAAGAAAGCCCAAAATGAAATCACCTCAAATAGAATTACTATATAGAACTATATAGAATTGCTACAATTAATATTTGGTCATGGTATGAAAGAACTCAATGGCTAAATATATACTTTGTAGTAATTCTATTTAAGGTGATTTAATTTGGGGCTTTCTTCTTTTTTTTTAAATATAGTGAAATTTTATGAGATTATTACGCTGAGAGAAAAAAACATCTAAAAAGTAAAACATATTTATTCAATAACATATTTACTCAAACCTAAACGGACTTAAATTCTTTTATTTAAATAGAATAAACAATAGCTTTCATGAAAAGCCAAAATTTAAAAAAAAAATATGTATTTTCTTATTTGGAAAAAAATATTTTATATTAATATAAGTAAATATGTTATTACAGTACCCACCGCGCCGAATAAATATTTGTCATTTCTTAGATATTTTTCTCGCAGTGTATATTTACGAAATTGTATCGTATAATCGAAGGGATTATCAACAGCGGTTCTGTCAAGAACGTCGACAGTGAGAGGCTTTAACATTTTTACGGTAACGTTTCACGCATCCAATCCAATTTAGAGATCTCGAAATGATATTGCGTTGGAACGTTTCCCTGAATTGGGTGTTACGTTGTGCGGAATGAACCGTGAGCAGTAATCCAACGGAAAGCAGTTTCTCGAGAGCCCGTCAGATCGAATCGCTCTGAAATAGCCGGGTTAGTTCGTAACATGCGACTTAAGTAGACTTATGCACGTGCTCCTGCAGATAGACACAAGAACAGAAGCGCAAAATTGCAGCCTATACCGTTCAGTCGCGCCTATCCATCATCCCGCACGAGATTTCGTGTTACGCTTAATGCGAATAATGATACGCGAATCTCTGCAAAACCCGAAACGTACCATCGCGTCGTGTGCGCATGATCATCTAAATCGCGGCAGTTAATTGCAGTGAAATCAATTACCAAGTGTAATGCAGGCCGTGTGAATGTACGATCGTTCCGATTGATAAAATGAAACACATATGAATAAACGAGAACTAGTAGTCGCGGATAATCGTGCCATGGAAAAAAATCTATGAGAACCCAACCGGAGTGAGATGCGTCGCGCGAAGGAATTTTAATATACACAATAACTAAGTAAATATATCTCGAATATTATTTGCAAATCAGTCATTGTTTTAATTAATGTATCAATTTCAATTTATATATTATATAATTTTATCCGCATTTTCCATAATCGACATTTAATAAATAAGAATGCTCATAGAGATTAATGTCCGCGTGATAAATTCGTATCTGCGTAAATTTACGCAAATATTTATTTCGTGAATGCGAGTGTCTGCAAATTTATTCATGCGAATAAAAGCACGCCGCTCGCAAAGACATTCGAAAAAATCTCGCTGAAATTTCAAATAATTTCATCGACAAGAAGGATCAACTTAAAGAACACAGACGCAAAGACACTCGGATTTCAAACGCATATTTCAAATGATGACACTAGAAAGGGAACTCCCCGAGTCGAAATCTTGATTCTACATCAATCCTGCAAATTCCGTTCAACTTGAAGGCTCAATGGAGAATCTCGAGACAAAAATACTATACAAGTTTTACTTTAATGTTATACATAATTGTTCACCATTTCAAAATTTTTTAATATATAATTATCTCAAAATTATATCTGCACTTAATCTTTACTCTCCCAATTTCAATGAGAGAAACGTTATTTAATTAATTATGTATTTACTAACTGTAGATAGCATATATGAGAGAGATAAACATGAGATAATCATATATATATTTGATAATTAACTAGTTATGAGTAAATGGGTAAAAGAAACAACACATTTTATTCTCTTCTTCTTTTTTCTCGATATGATGATAGTTTCGATAAGATTTCAAGCTCTTAAAAGAGCTGAAAATAAAGAAGCTGTAAAAGTAAAGATAACAGTTATATGTCCAATAATGCTGTCTATCAACAAAGATTTATACATAGATTCGGTATAATAACAAAAATAAACACGAAAAGGCGTCAACAAATTCAAAATAGGACTTGCAAGTCCAATGAACATTATTAGACGAATAAATCAGCATTTGCGAAATTTATACTAGATTCTAAGGCCGATATTTATAGTTGCAAATTATCTGTGATCTTTGATTAAGAGCATAATTAATTGCGGATTCGTATTCATGGAGAGCCATTATTATCACAGTCATTATTTGTCCATTTGAATCAATATATTCCTTGTTTGCATAAAATAAGTATGGATATAGGTTGACTAATAGAGATTCATGAAGCTATAATTCGTTAAATGATGATAGACTATGAATATCGGCCTAAATTTCGACTCGGGTATCCCCTCTACTCCCGTGAGTTTGTCAAAAGACTGTCAAAACAGGAAATAATTGAACATACCTGAAAATATGTACTGCTGTTCACGTTCCGACGCCCTACATCCTCCATCCTAGTACTCCGAATCAGCACTCAGCTCCTGGCTGCTTCGTCGTGGCACTTCACACTCACACACTCGCGAATATCGCAATTCGATCGGAGAAACGCGATATATTAACTCGCGAATTAATCAACGGAGCCCGTTCAAGTGTCACGAATCGCCCGATATAAATGCGACACTGATAAGAATCCAAGTAAATTTGTTAATATATGATTACCTCAAAATTATATTTCTACTGTATCTTTATTCCCAATTTCAATGAGAAGAGAACGTATTAATTCTTTACTTATGTAATACTATTTCAATAGACAACGAAATAGATTTTAATGAACGGAAATAGTGACACACCGAACATGTACTACTCTCGGTATGCGTCTCGCTCGCCGGCTTGGGACACAATGGAAACACTCGAAAAAGTACGTGACGCACGAAGATAAGCGTAACCGCCTTAAAGGTCCCGAATGTTTTGATCGCGCTCATTGTTGTGATCGCGCTTGGCCATTCAGTGCCGAGCGACGACGCTTGCCGATTGACGCGAGATTGAACGTATCTTTTTTTACCCGTTATTTCGCTACACTCGCGCGTCGTATTTTCCATGGCTAGATATTATATTACGTTACAAGTTGACGAGTTAAATTCCTGTCGAGTGCGATGAAGATATTTCCGTCGACTCTTGAATTCAATCGGATTCTTATCGCCTTAATTAACGCGCGTTTCTTCAATTGAATCATACCCATGCGAATATCAATGTTACACTGAGAAGAAAATATTTAAAAATTAACAAATATTTATTAGGTGGGTACCATTAACATATTTATTATTTAAATAAAGAAAATTCTGATTTAAGTAAATATATTAATGATACCTAATATAAATATATAAATGATACCTAAATAAATATTTGTTAATTTTTAGATTTTTTCTCAGTGTATGAGTTGGCGCACAAAGTACCACAGCGAAACAATCAGGAAACAGGATGTTGAATCAAGAAGCTAAGACGAAAGAGCCAAGACGATAAGATATGGACAGCATATTTATTTTATATAAGAGATATGGATCAAAGCAATTAATTCATGGAAATAAATCTGAGATTATGTTCTTAATCAAAGATCGTAAATGATTTGTAACTATCGGCCGGCTCTACGTATTTTAGAATTCAATGTGAATCTCGTAAGTGCGTTATTAGACGCATTTTTATACGTTTAATAACATTTCTTGGGTCGCAACTCCTACCAAGAACTTGTCAACGTCTTGTTTTCACTTTTATTTACAGAAATACATTTATTTTGACGAATCTAAAGTTATATTTCTATCAATATGCGACATTATTGGACATGCATATTTTTTCTTATAATTTCTTTCTTTTTTGCTTCTCTTGAATCTCCTAATTGCATCGAGATTTCCAATGCTAGTTAAGAAGAAAATAGTAAAGAAATTATGAACAAAGAGAATTCATTGTTTTATTTAGTTATTACTTTTTACTGGATTATTTAATATTTGCTCATCTTACATGTTCTTTCCTGCCACTAAGTTACTTAATTAATTCGTTGACTATCGAGATAAATCGAGTATTAAATAATTCGAAAATAAATCTTTAATCGATTAATCCTTTCAAACTTGACAGAACTTACAAGATTAATAAAAGACCAAAATTTCAACTTGAGTTATTCTTGCCATAAGTTTGGCAGGCGAAAATTGCCAACTCTCGAGACGCGAAGAAGGGTCGTGATGGAAAGTGTAAAGAGGGATTGGAATCGATAGGACGCGAGAAGTTTCGACGTTGAAAGACGAAATGCAGCAGGCACAGGCGCGCGAACAATGCGTCATCCGCCGTATGCGAAAGAGTGAATGCAAGAGAGAGAGAGAGAGAAAGAGAAAGAGAGATGTGCACCGTAGTCAGATAATTCACATGTACACATTGTGCATGGTTTCGAGTGGCGGTGTGCGAGACTAGACATACCGGTATACACGTGAATTCCGGCGTGTCAGCAACCACACCGAGCGTTAGTGCGCGCACGTCAAATTAAAACGACGACGCAGAACGTCATTTCGCTACGATGAAAGATCGCGCGTATGATATACCGCGAGATGAATTCGGAATTACTAATTAACAAACTCGCGCGATAGTACACTCCCTCGCTGCGTAAGGAAAACTTTTCTCTTTACGAGTAAAAAAAAAGAAAAAGGAGTATTACAGAAATACGAAATGAGAGATAAATGCGAAAAAAGAGAGTATTAGGAAGACACAAATGCAAATTTTTACCGAGTTATTTTCTTGGTCTAGCTATACATGTGCCAATATTTGAAGAGAGAGAGACAGTACTACTTAATAAGTTTTGAACAAATTCAACAAGTTATTTTAATCTTAACCTTCTATAATAAAAAATTATTTTTGACTATCTAATTAGCGTCTCACTGCTCGTTATGTCATAGACTGTCGTCAATACATCGAAACAATAATTTAAAATAACTAATATATACTCTCTTTATCTGGAATCCATACAGCACAATTTCGTTTCTACATAATATAATGCATATGAGAACTTGGTATTTTTAATTATCCTCGAGTCGTTCTTTTATGTCGCGACGATCTTACAAATGTGTATTTTTGTGAGCGCAGTATGCCACAAGGAAGCATTCAATGGCAGGGGACGCAGAGAAGAGCCTGCGGACCTGGGGCTAACTGGAACGTACAGGTACATCCTCTCTTTGCTCTGGCTTATAAAACTTCGAGGTCGATACTGAGTACACAGCGATACGTCATCGTTTCGCGAACCCGAGACTCTGTATCGGCCTCGTTAGCGTAACTATTAGGGAGAGTAGATGGGGAAATATCAGCCGTAGAGAAAGAGCTCAATAGTGCGCATATATTCGTAGAGAGCATGTACGTACCAGTAGGTACAATATGTATCCGTAACTCTAATCATCTCTCTAGCACGTTCACGAATTTTACTGCCTGCGAACGCCCGCAGGAATTATTCCCAACGGTGGAATCGGCCTCAACGTGGAAGTCGCAGTGCGCAAATTCAACGCGAAACAAACAAACCACAGTTATATCGTCGTCACGAAATTATCTATTGCTCTCTGCTCGATGAGATAAAATCTGCACACACACACACACAGCAATTTTGTCAATACGTCAACTTATTACCAACGAGACGCTCGTAAACTGAAAGAAAAGATATCTAAAAAGTAGTAAATATTTCTCTGGTGGGTACTAATAATATGTTTACTTAAATCTAAACTCTTTGATTTAAATAAAATAAATAACTGCTTTAGAAAAACCTAAGGTTTTTTAATAAATAATTATTAGGAAAGCTAAAATTTTCTTAAGAATAAATAACTCCTCTTTTAGAACAGCTAAGATTTTCTGAAAGTTTTAAGAAACTATATATTTTTTTATTTGAAAAATATTTTATATTAGTGCAAACAATATACATATTAGTAGTACACGAAAAAACAGTATAGTTGGCTCACGTATAAATCTGATTGTACCAACCACGCTCAATATTGAATCAACCAGATCTATGTGTGGACTAACTATACTATTTTCTACCCAACGCGAATAAATATTTATTATCTTTTAAATATTTTTTTCTCTCAGCGTGGCTAAAGTCTTCAATTAGATTTCAATTGAGTATTCCAGCATTCTACGTAGCAATTGTACCGTCACGACGCAATAATTTAGATTACAAACGTCACACGAGACATTTCGTTCATCGTTATCCAACACCGAGGAGAAGTGTTACTACGCCGTTATTACACTACTAGTAGCGTAATCTCGTAAATCGTACTGATCGATTTAACGGCACCGCGTAAACGCGGTCGTACGTGTGTTCGCCACCTACGGCTGATAAACAACTGGACCATCGTCCAGGTTTATTAACTGTTAATGGCGCCAATTAAATCGAACAGGTGGTGAGAGGCAAGGTGACAACGCGGTGCTTGTGGCACGCCTGCAAAGCTCTCGGAATTGGGCTGCTGCTAATGCTTTTAGGAGCTTGCATGGCGACCATAGGTGAGTAGAATTATGTAAATTAAACATCGACCCGTATACACTGACGAACGCTCTACTCCGTCTTAGCCTCCAAGTCACTAAATGCTTCAAGGCAACCGCAAATTGCACTTTGCAAACATCAACTATGTGATACAGTTTCTGTCGTCTTTGATACCCAAGATTCGAAAAATTTTGCAAAGCTATTTTATATTATTTTTTATCATTCAAATAGATGAACTTTTCGATAATATATTCATAGCGCTCACGCATGGATTGCGAACGAGCTAATCCGTTTATTTACTGCGCACAAGCTTGTACTTCACGCCTATTTATGCCGCATGAATCGAACTTAACCAGTTCTAAGAACAATTCTTCACTCTAGTACAATATAAACGTATATCTAGTAGATATATATGCATTTGGATATCCATTTACATTGAGAGTGAAAATATCTAAAAAATGAAAAATATTTATTCGGTGAGTATTATAATAACATATTTATTCTTATACTAATATATAAAATATTTTTCAAAAAAGAATATATATATATATATATATTATATATATTTACATATATATTTATATACATTTTCTTAACACCCCTTAGTTTTTCATGAAACCAATTTTTTTTTTTAATGAAAATTGAAATTGAAGCAAAAATATTTTGTCATTAGTATTCACCGAATAAATATTTTCTATTTTTCTGATATTTTTCTTTCAATGTAGCATCGAATTACCTGTGATATATTGATTTCTGAATATCACACACTTGAAAAAGAATTTGACGAAATATTTACTAAATATTTACTAATTCTAATTTCAAATGAAGCGGAAGTTTCAACGCAAAACAAGCTTTGTACGAATTTGGCGCGAAGTTCGCGACTAACATAACGCGTCATAACGCATTTTGAGTGCGGATAAGTAGAGTGTCAAAACCAACATTGGAATCTTATCTCTTCATTTGAACTCTATTGTTTCATTAAATAGGATATTACGCGGATCAACTGTCGGTGGCGCAAGAGATCAGAGGTAATCTTACGATAAAAGTGAAGAACGAATCGCGCGGGTTTCACCTGAACAATCTGAGCTACGCCGGTCCCATCGTTATGGGTGTAGGAGGTAATACTTAATATACATTGCACAATTCATGCGCATGATTTACATGCTCAACCAAGCGACTAGTTAAGTGACACTGATCCCTTTGGAACAGTATTTGCGCGATAATGAATAGATACGATGGCGCAAAATGTATATAAACATTTTTCTTGGGACGACGTTATATATAATATTATGCAATCCCGCGTGATGCGACACGTAAATCGATAAAATTGTTACGTAATATGATATAATAATATCGCGAAAAAAGATTCTGCGCGGCTTTCGCGATTTTTGTGATCAACACATCGCTTTCGCGTTACGCAATAATTAAATTCGTATTATAAGATAAGCGCGATAAAGAGATATAATTTATTTTTTCTTTGTTCCGACAACACTGCGCGCCCGCGCCTTGCAATTTATTATTTAATATTTTTCGGTGAAAAATTGCACAAATACGTGAGTTTTGTAAAAAAAAAACCCGCGAAGGGCACAAAGGAAGTAGCTATAAATAAAAACAACGAATAATGTAACGGATGTAGGGCGGAAAATTGCAGGCGAAACGCGAAAAATGCGGCACCACACCACGGTCGAACGAGAGCACTCGATAGAAACGAGAGAAAAAAAGCTGCCCCCAGAGAGATTTGAACTCTCGACCCCTGGTTTACAAGACCAGTGCTCTAACCCCTGAGCTATGGAGGCTCACGGTCGATTATCGCCGGGAAGCCTCAGATAGATGTGTCGCCCAGATTTTGTGTCGTATTTAAATACTATTGATTATTGAGTATTGATTATATTCGTATCGAACAGAACATATTAAATATGCAATAATGCAACATTCTTCTCTCTTATCGTCGCGACTTTTCAAAAGTCACAAGTTTAGCTAAAGCAATAATTTACTGCATTTTAAATAGAAGTTCAGAGTCCCACAACTCAAAGAGCGGAATAATTTACACTTGAATCGTATTCACGCGCGAATGATAATGTCTCCAGGCTTCATTGTGGTAGCTGCCTGCGTAATGACCTTCGAGGCTCGTGATAGCGCCGCCAAGGTGGTGCCGGCTCGTTTCCGCTTCAGTCAGACGTCTACACTCAAGAGCTCAAAGAGCCAACGCAACAGAAGATCGACATCGAGCCAGACGACAAAATGGGACCACCAGCTGGGACTTTTCAGAGTAAACCGCAGCCCGAGTCCCAGCACGCACGAAGTCTCCAGGAAACAGCTGACGGCGGAATTTATGCAATTCTCGAAGGACTTGAAGGAGAAGGGAGTGGCACACGCCATAAAGAAGAGTCCGAGTGCTCCAACGTTGATCGACAAAAAGTCACCACGTCGAAAATCGCCCAAGTACGCCGCTTGCTCGCTACTAAATCCGGAATTGCTGCAAAGACACGCTCTCTCGGTCGACAATCCGAGCTACAGCCCGCATCAGGTAAGAGGAAAAGAAAATCGACATTCTCGGCGAGTTGGTTAAATGGTCTTTAGTTGGTTAAATGGTCGATTTGAAATTCATTTCGATCATTAATAGATCAGTAGGGAGAGTCTGGAGCATCAGAAGATGAACGGTAGCCAAGTCTCAATGGCGATGGATCTACATATTCCGAACAAAGGTCCCGTTACGCTCAAAGTGAAAGACCGATCCGATACAGCGAGACGTCATCAGCTACTGCGTCAGACAAAAGTGGAGGACGTCGAGGAAGTCGACGAAGCCATGCGACAACCACCAACTCTCGTACATTCGCCTAAATTGCCAGGTGAATATAAGCAAAAATAAAGAAACTTGAGACACTAAATTGTTATACTTTAAGAAATAGACATCATTGAAAAACTACGAATATAAAAGTCTAATCTGTTTTCCTGTGCAAAATCATTCTTATCTGAATGACTAAGAACCAAGGATTATTAATTTTAAACAAAAGAGGCAATGGTGCGCGAATTTTGATTCGTTACGTAAGGAAATTAACTAAAACAAATATCCGTTCAATAACAAATATCGAATCGATAAATTCTAAAATAAAATTCCTATAAAAGGTACATAAATTCCTACACTGATGAAAAACTATTTGAAAATTTACTTGTGGTATATAATATTTACTCGCGTAGAAATAAATTTTATTTTACAAAAATAAACTTTATTTCACAGAGACAAACTTTATATGACACAAATAAATCTTCAAATATTCTTTGTCGAAGCAAACAAAATATCCACTAATCAATAAACTCCAATAATCACGAACATTTCGATCAGGTACTTATTGCAGATATCCAGACGACTTCGTGCCAAGGAAGAGAAACTCGATAGACCTGAGATTGCTAGAGGAATTGACAGCGGTGTCAAAAGAATTGGGTAAGGTCTCGCCGCGAGACTTCCGAAAGATCTCATCACCCAACTTCCGTAAAATGTCCTTCGACAGAATCGGCGGTGATCGTCGCTTTGACAGAACGATGGGACATCGAAAGGCCAGTCTGGAGTTCCGAAGAAGCCCCGACTTCCGAAGAGGAGACTACAGGTATCGAAAAGATGCGACTTCTACACCTCTAATTGTAGGACCATGCCTCGAGTTATAAAACACGAAGTCCCCCTAATCGAATTTGCAGGAAGCTCTCGATCGATAGATTCAGCGTTGACTGTACCCGGTACATGCTCGACGAGACTGAGATGAGATCGCGAACGAGCAGCGGGGAGAATCTGCGAAGGCAGTCGCGACATCCTAAACTGCACCATTCCAGATCGGACGACAACAGGAGACGATCTTTCGATAGGCATCCGAGAGACTCTCAATCGAGTAGACACTCTCTAAACACTCAGGCCGTCGTGGAGGGTTCCGGGTGTGATTTTGAGCACAAGTACTTCACGACGGTGTCCCTCGACACCGAAGAGAGCCGCGGTGACAATTCTGACGAAAGTCACGCGGTTGATATCGAGGATACAAATCCCGGCGCTGCGTCGTCAGACGGACCTACAGAGGCCGACATGTTGCTCGAGGAACCGGAACTAGAGTACGTCACGGAGATCGACGTGGAGAGTTCCGGCGATGATCTTGACGACGACGACGACGACAAGTGCAGAACGCTGGTCGAGAGAACAGACGCAATGGTGCATGGACAAAGTCCCATAATCATCACCGAGGTCGCAGACCCACCGACAATTATCGACGAGGAGACAGCACGCAATTCTGCTCGGCAAACAGATAGTAAGAAATACGAAGCGACCTTGTACATAGAGGATGACGAAGTATGAAGAGAACCAAAAATGTACTTGGGGATTAACGCAGCACTCAGGATAACCTGAAGAAACTAACGACATTCGCGAAGCGCAATTGAGAATTGACAGCATTGCTGGAAATTCCCTCGCGAGATTACACGAGGAATTAGCGATTGTCTTTTGAACGCGGCGCGACTCGACATCGCGAAACATGCTCAACGATATAAGATTTAACACAGCATAAATAATGAGATCACGTTCGAATTGCGTTTTGTAACGAGACAATCGTTTTCTATCAGCAGCCCGCGTCGCCCTCTGTGGAGAGACGACGAGCGTAATAACATTTGCCACGTTGATGACAAATAATTGTTACCGACAAATTTTGACGTAGCGCATAGACAGTAATAGATCTAATGTAAGGTAGAATTCATTGAAATACAAGTGTGATTACGCGTATCAAAGAGCTTTTTGTACTCGTAATTGAGAACGTAAACGTAATATAACGTAACGTTCGCTTGTAAATATTTCGAAGGCACGTGTGGCGCGATTCAAAATGGATTAAGGGTCGTAAAAAGTGTAACGTTATTCAAAGTATCTTAGCACACACTAATTTTGTCAAATTTCCGAAACGCAAAAACAGATTCACAATTCGGAATGCTACTTTTTACTGAATTATGAAAATAGAATTTTAATAGACTTCTAATTTATTGAAAATTTATGAAAGAATGTGTACAAATAGCAATGTGTCAAATACGTGATAACCGAAAAACTCTGCATATACCTTACGACACGCGGGTTAATGTTTTAAAAGGTATAAGAATACGGAATGCACGTGATGGATCAAGATTTCAGCGTATAGCACCGAAAGTATCTTTAAGACTCTTCTCTAAAAACCAAGCATGAAACATATATGAGAACTGAACGTTTATAGATCTCAGGTCTCCTCTAATCTGTTGTTAATGCGTTTGCCACGAAATTTACGCGAGAATGCGGCCTATTTCATGCTTGTTCGTTGAACGTTAGTCGACGAAAAGTCATAGATCGTACGTAAATTTGACGAGCGCGACGACCTCGGAACATCTTTCGATACATTTGGCTCGACCAATGAGAGAAATGAAATATACAAAATTTCTACTAAAGTCCGACATTCTCTACTTTGCAACGGCGTCGAGCGTAACAGTTATTCGTGATGAAGTGACGGCTTAGCCGCGCGTGTAATATATTTTTATATCCACACAGCGATATACATATATATAATAGCTCATATAATGTTGATTATATATTAACGATCCAACAATATCGACAAAATCGAGATCGTTCTCGTTTTGACAAGCGCCTGGCTTGAAGAAAATATACATCTGCCTTCTGATAAACTAACTCTCACCTGAGAGTGTCCTTATTTGTTGTATGTATGTTACGATAAGTTATTTTCGTTGCAATTTCGCGATCGACAAAATTATCGTTTAAGATTTTAATGTGGTTGTGCAGATTACGATTTATATATTTGTCAATTAGATAAAGCATGCAGGTTATCTCAAAATCTTCACGACCTTAATTTTAATATCGAATTTCCCGAGAAATTTAGAATGCATTATTTCTTAGGAATAATTCCGAGACACGTCACATTTTTCGCGACATCTTCATATTTGTAATTAGATATCTTCGTAATTATATGTTAGATTGTAAAATTTCTGAAAAATATATCTCTTTATAGCTGAGCTGAAAAAACACAGATTATCCTTGAATTGATCGAGTAATCTTCAATTAGAATCTTCAAAAATTAGATGTTAGAATTAAGGTCGGAGAGATTGAGAGAGAAAATGTATACCTAAGCCTGACCGCTTACATACGATCAACACAGTCAAATGTGTTGTTGATTGAGAAACAATCTTTACCCCACACTCGATCTCAGTTGCTTTTTAACGTAGAAGGTAACGTCAACAAAACAATGTAATAAGAAAAATGCAATCATTATATATGCAATATATTGTTGATATATCGTAAATTAACGAATTGGAATATCTACATCGATAGATAACGTGGATAGATATTGATATATAATAATCCTTCTCTTAAAACAATCTGGTATTTTTCTACCAGAAATGTGAAATTAGTAATACATTAGAAAATGTATGAAAAACTGCGAACGCGCGGGAGATTAACGTCTTTCATAATTTTTTAACCCCCCTCGTTGAAGCAGCTCATGCGTCTGTTGGCTGCTATTTTACATAGTGAAGAATGATAAGTTGTGACTACGGTCATCGTTCTGTAGAGAATGTAGGCCTGTGTGAAGCGCATAACTAATAATCAACGGAATAAACATAAAAAACTGTGATCGAGATATAACTCTATAAGAAGCTGTATTACTAAGTAACGTTTTTTGCGAGACTGCTCGTCAATGAGCAATGAAACTGTCTCAAATCGAAAAGTAAATAGACAAACGCGATTAAAGTTGATAAACACAACAGAGATACCTTTCAAAAAGAACCATAAATAAATTAATTTATTTCAGCTTTCACGTTTATAACTGATATGTTGATGAAAAATAAATCATTGAGGAATCTTTCGCGGTGTACAATCAAATATTAGAAGTATTAGAATCTTTTTGAGGAGTTGAACGATATTCGTTTGTAACATTACAGCGTGTCTCTCTGAAGTTCAGAATCTACCATATGAGCTACGGTCGGTACTAATTCTTGTATAGTTAATGAACATGCCTGAACACAAATAAGTGTCAGTATAAAATTTTTAAATCAGTGTAACCCCTGCATGCTAATTGTTGTGACATATCAATAAAAAGAAAAAACATTCCTGGACCAATGATAACCTGTGTATTTTCCAAAGGAAACTATTTCAGACATATAGAGATACGTATGAAATAATTGAGATTTATTAGACTTTCTCCCACACACATCTGCGCTCTTAATAAGAAAATTCAAAGTAGCAGAGTCTGTTTCGATATCGATCGGTTATAATGACATTATGATGATGTTATAACGATGTTATAAACAGTTATTCAGATCTCTAACAAACTAGTGGCACTCTCTGTCGGGAGCTACCGACTTTCACCAACGCGTAATTACAATTGGAGCGACCTTATCTAAGATCTTAATTGAAGATGTTGCTCACGAGTCACGAGTATTCAATAGTTACCATGACAACGTCCCGGAAATCCAATCGTACGATATTAAAAAAGAAGAGAAAATTTAACTTGCTCGCGCACGTGGTTTGATTTTGAGTCGATCGAGTTGATTCGCGCAGTTCTGTGGAACAGGCCCCAGGTGGCGGATAGATATCCGAACGAGAACGCAGACATGTGGCGAGTCTTCGGGAGCAAGGTGGGAGGGAGCTATCGGCATGGGAGGGATAATCGAAGTAAAAAGAGAGAGAGAAGGAGAACCTACAGTCTGGTGTCCCAGGTGTAACTTGCCGCTCGCCCGAGCAGTGCATCGCCGAACGTTACACTCGGCACGCGGTTTGCCTCCGGGTCACGCTTCTTAATTTCGCTGCTCTGTCTCTCTCGCACTTCGACTCACGCGAGAAACTCGTCGTGTGTTTCTCAAATTACCGAACGATGTCTTGGTGAGCCACGTATTAAAACGCGAAGGAGCGAACGACACACGTAGAAATGTCCTCGGAGCGATTTCACAAGTGAGTGGATTTTTACGTATCATGTGTGTGCGAAGATGCACGTATGTGCGTGTGTGTATACATGCGCGCGCGCGTGTGTACGTGCGACTCCCTATATCATTTTCTTTGCTCTTGTTTTGGTACGCGCGCTCACACGTAGGACTTGTCCCGGGGTCCGGAAAGCGGAGAGAAATGTCGTGGGGCGAGGTACTCGCCTTGGAATTGAAAAAATTCCCGAGTCGACTGCACGCTCGATCGCGCGAAGCGATTCGATAGAACGGGGGGAATAGCGGTTAGTACACCTAAAGATCCATAAGCACAAGCATCGATAAAATTCACAAATTGAACAGTGCAAATCTTTTTCAAATACGCATTGCGGCTTTCTCCCCGGATATTCTGCCTTACATCGCCAAAAATACGAACGAATGTATTCGATCACTAATCGGTTGTGCGAATAGCTCCGCTTTTTGCGACGATTGTGAATTAAATTTTGCTTTGATACAACATAATATTTGAAAAGATCTTTTTGTCAATATACAGTGAGTTGCAAAACGATTCAAATATGATGAAGTTGGGAGCTCATCAAACTGCCAAAATTACCGACGGACTTTTACGCAATAATAATTAATCATACAATTAAAAACACTAAATAATAACACAATAATATAATTATTTCATGCCCGTCAAATATTAACTCTCAATTTTGGCAGTTTGGTGAGCTCCCAACTTCATTGTGTCCAAATCGTTGTGCAATTGACGAAAATGTTTAACGATTTACTAAATCGAGGGTTACATTATTCGCGATGGATCGACAATAATCTTTCATTCGTGCTCACAGAGAGAGATAGTCAGGACAGAATAAAAAGATATTAAAAAACTTTCACATCTATAGTCGAAGCGCACACTGAGAGAAGAAAAAATATTTGAAAATGTATTTGTATTTATAAAAATTCATTTCACAGAAATGAATTTTATATCTCACAAATAAATTTTCAAGCATTTTTCTCTCGACGCTAAGTTGTTAATAGGTTGTTAGAATAAGTAGAGACGGGTTAAGCGTCACGCAGTCATTAAGGCATGATACTTTAACGCGCTTGTTAGTATCGTCGAACTCGATAAGGAAGGGCGATAGCAATCGCGCAGGTATGCACATCCGCGCGAGGTGATGCATGCGATTTATTTAATAAAGGGATTAAAAGGCACCGAATACCTAGTTACCTACGAGCCCGGAATAACCGTGATCACGAGCTGTTTCAACGCGGCGCGGCATGCGCATCGGTAGAGCGCGTGCGGAATTTATGCATGAGAAAAGAGGCTCGTGCTCTTGTTGCATTCGGTATGAATCTATCGTCCGGATCATTCGCAGAAATTCCAAGCTCATTCCCGAACGTGTTAACGTTATAATTCGACGATATCAAAGCACTGGAAAAATATGTTACGAAAAATTAATGTTGGCACGCTGAGATGATTCTTCGCACAACGCGAGTCGAAAGTCGCGTATCGTGTCTCGCTTCGCTACGCGCAAAGTGCGCATATTTGAGCATTAGCACATTCCAATTTCCCCAATTAAGAGGAGAGAAATCAGGAATCGCTCGCGTCGCTGTTGCACGCATAATTTAACTCATAATTAAATTAAAAAATACCACGTCGCGCGAGCAACGTGTCGCGAGCGGCGGAATATAATCTGATGTTGAGACGCGTGGATGTATACCGACTTCACGAATGTTTCTGCTCGCGATGAGACTCGCGATTCTCTTCCGAGAAACGCGACGCAGTAATTAGAAAATGATCCGCTTGAAACGTAAGACATTGCGATGTGTCGCGCGATAAAATAATAACACCCCAGCTTTCGCAACGCCGTGCTTCGAATAAGCAAAAATATGCTTTCGTTGTTACTGGCAGTGTAATGTGTTAAGAAGAAATCAAGTATCACGACAACATAATACACAGACTTAAGTTCGCTGCGAATTCGCTGTACCAATTAACTTACGAATTAGCTAGGATATTTTTATGTACCGCATAACACATACTAAGATAATCTATAGAAAATATCCTCTGAATAGTATACTTATAGATGGATACATCTGTGCATGTAAAATCTTAATTTGTGAAATTGAATTTAGTTATTCGAGACAAAGATAGCCTCGAGTAAATTAGTTCATTTAATTCAACTATCCAAGATGTTCTCAGGTGTAAACTTTTAATTCGTTAACACGTTATCGTCCATTTAACAATGTAATAATCTGTTATAATATCGTCTTGAACATCAATAGCAGTGATTCAATACAATTATATTTCAGACGTGTCATTTTTTAAAAACAGAGAAGCATACTTGTAATTAACTACGTCATCGTAATTCACAAACGCTTGTTTGGAATTATATATATAGATCTTCTGTTTTTACTTACGAATTACAATTAATTATTAAAAAATCATTTTTCAACACACGGTGTCACGGATTCTCACGTGATGCATTTACATATCTGTTTTCTAATATAATTCATTAAAAGTGTCGATATCTATATGGTGTGCTGAATATCCGATCTTCAGTGATAGAAACGAGTTGCGAGTTACCTGAGAGCATCTGGCAGATCAAACAAAGAATAGTATTAATGCACAGGTTTCTCTTTGCCAAAGGGCTGCGCGAGACTGCGCATTGGACGTTCTGAAGGAAGCGACGAGAAAGGATTGTAACGTGCGAGACGAAGGAGGAATGACCCCGACATTATGGGCAGCCTTCGAAGGTCACATAGATGCCCTGAGACTGCTGGTCGCCAGAGGGTATGCGTATTTAATATTTTCTTCTGTTTGCCATGACTAAGCGCGAGTACAATGTGCGTGCGTTCAACGCTCACAACCCGAAAAATATCTCTGTAATAATTAAGAAGCATGTCTTCACGCTTACACATAATGCGAATCAACTGTTTCGTGATGAAAAGAATCGATGAATCGCGTGTCACGAGAATTCTCCTTGCAAATGCGGGTGCACCGGAACTATGAACACACGCACTGTACCTTACAATGGCACGCGATAGCTGACACACAGCGAGAGATTCTTGCCGGACCGCAAATAATACATTTAGTCATTGCGACTTGTTGTCGTGCCGAATGCGCAAAGGGAAAATATAAATAGGTATATAATAGTGGGTATTTTATTTGAAAATTATATATATATGGATGAGAAAAAACTACACCCATCTGCACTTATGCAAGTAATACTCAATAAATACTTAACCGTCAACGAATTCCATACATAAATTTTAAGAGCACGTATTTTATTCATGTCTGATTTTTGCAAAATCTCAAATTAATTAGCAATTAATATAACTAGCAATTATATAACAAGGACACATATTCGCGTAGATGTAAATCTCTAATATTCTATAAAGAATATATATGAATAAATATGTATATGTATATGTATATGTGAATATGTATATGTACATGATAAAGACAGTTTTATTTAAAATATCTTTATATCTGACATATAATATTAATCTTTAAATGAAATTACGTAGCGTTGAACAAAGATAAGTTACTAGTAAATAATAAACAAATATTAAAATATGAAGAATCTCGATTTTATACTTGCCTCATAAATACTTTTATACTTTATCTCGATTTTATACTTGCCCAAGTGAAATTTTAAAAACAGTAATACAATAATTACTTAGAGATATATTACTTGGAACGAGATATATTACTTGGAACGGCCCATTGTACAAGAATCTCGTCTCTAATGGTGATATATAAAAAATAACATTAAATTGTGCAAAAGTTAATGAGGAATTACATCGCGAGTTGCGGAAGTGAAGCGCATTCGGCGACAAATGTAATTTTGCGTTTTAACCACTCATACGAGACACGGTTGCCCATCAGGCACGAGGTCGTCGTGCCCCGTGAGCACGACAGCCCCACTACAACTAGTACCTGATAATTACACTCACTGAATATGCGGGGGACCCTCCACTCGTGCCAACTCCAAAATGCAGGGAGCCCCTCGATGCTTCCGGCGGTATATCACGAACACCCGTAGAACACTAGTAGATCTCCATCACAAAGCGTCATAAACAATCGCATTAATGTCTGATGGTCTTCCACAATCTGGAAACAAATTATAATTAGTTGCTGCAAATCATGATTGTTCATTTAATTCAATATCAGAGGCTACATGGAAAAAAATAATATTCTTATTTGAAGAATATTTTTATTGTTGACATCTTAGAAATAAGATTATATGATGTTAAATAAAGATACCAACAATATTGATATTCTTGCTTATTCATGGAAAAATGATTGTGTTAATTTTACTATATTTATATTGTTTAAAGATTAATTTAACTTCATTCAACGTCATATAGCTTCATTTTAACATTAATCTTATTTTTAAAATGTCAACAACAAAGATATTCTCCAAACAAGAATATTCTTTTTTTCTGTATAGATAAGCTAATCTAATTTCCTATAAAAAATAATGAGAACCTACGTATCATTCATAATTATAAAATATTTATGATTTATTTATAATAATATAATTGTAACACTTATTGATTGCACACGAGATTTGTAAATAGAATTATCTCTTATCTAAGCATGTATGTAATTGTTGAAAAAAACCTGCGCATCAACTTGTGAATGGGATAAAGTAACTATGAAATTATACAAGTATTGATTATAATTATAATTACTTGCAATTTGGTAATTATTCTGTCTCGTTCACAAGTTGACATATAACTTTTTTTTTCAACGATTAGATATATACTCAGATAAGAGACAATTGTGCTCACAAATAATACAATCGTTAAGTCATACATTTATTGTATCCCACAAGAACAATAGCTTTTATAAAAATCACGATATATAAATTGTTCTTTATTAAAATATTAAAAAAAAAAGTATGTATCTTCTAATGCTCCACTGTACTTTCTCCAACCATCACGCGAACGAGCATTTTGCACACGTGACGATTACACGGATAATTATACTCGTGAACATTTACACCTGATGTTAATCACACATTCCCGGCATATAAGATAAAATCAAATATAATTTCACTTCTGTCGTGGTCAATTTAAATACGGAAGAACGTGTCTTACACAGCCAATTACTTTATTTATATCATCGCAAACAATCATGAGGATCATTCTCGTGGATCCGTTGCACTGAAATTAATACTTGCCGAAATGATACTGATTTCGGGTGGACATTGGAAGCAAAAACATCCTGGGTGCGGATTTCAATCGACGTTTCTCATTTCTGCAAGCACCCCATCCCGCCAGCTCCTCGCTCTGCTTTCATATATCGTGATTGACATATACATAGGTAGCAGGAAGTACGCATTACAGGTGTCCATCGACTCTGCACAGCGGCGGAAACTGCGGTCGAGCGCACGAAAGACAATGGACTGCGTGTATATATAATAAAATAGTGGGCCGAGGTAACACTCCGCGAGATGCAACAGGCGCCGAAAATCCTTGCGCGAATGCACCCCGAGTAAACACATAACAGGCAATCGCCCATCTCGTCGACCTGTTTGAGAGCGAAATATTCCGGATCAATATATCGATATCGATCATGAAGGACGAACGCAACGAAAGTAATTGCAACATGGCGAACCGCGGATTCTGTAGCATCGTAACCGCCAATCAAATTGTTGATACGTGTGCACTCGTAACGCACGTTGTACTTTACAACTATAATAGACTAAATACATACCACGTAATCGACGATCGATGCAATCTACCTCGCCTATCAATGGGACGAATCGAAGAAACAACGGTCGTAAGATCGGGAGCTGCGTATCTCATCGAAATTTCAACGGAAAAGAACCGCCGAACTTCGTAGATAAAGCAGCGGAACACACCAGACCGCGGAACGGAAATTTGACCACTGTACCGACGAGAGCGTCACTCTGAAAAGTGTAACCCCCTGTGACTTGTGTCGTGATTTTAGAGGACAAGGGCATAACTAACTTATTAATATCGACGACCAAGATAACCACCCACTTGATTTCTCGCTTGAATGACTCGATCGAGGCGAACGGACGACAAGATTTCGCCCGGACGGAGACACTTGGAGGTTCGATAAAACTTTGGAAAATCGACACCCCGCAGAAAAACAACGCGAACTGGACCGCGGAACGGGCGGAAATAAATCGCAGAACCGATGCATGGTGCATATGCCGCCGAAAAGTACGCCCCCTAATTCCCGCCACGCGATTATAATTTAAAATGATAAATGTATAACTTTCCTGATTCTTTAACATAATCAAGGCGCAACTCTTCTGTTTCACTATAAATTTATTCAGACTGATCATTTGGCAATAATTATAAGTTTGATAATTATATTTGATTCATCGCAATAAAGTAGCTTATCAATGCATCGTTTCAAAAGACGTGAGTTTATTTTCGCAATAAACAAAAAGAAACAATAACAATATTATAATTATAATATTAATGTTATAATGTTATAATTATAATATTAATATTACAATTTTCCACTCGACAATGTGTGTGTTCAAATGCAATATAACATATATTATACATAACAGTTACATTATTGAGCAAAAAATTATAATATTAATGTAATATTACTGTTACTCAATGTTTACTGGGTCTTAATAAAAAGTGGAATATATGTCCACATATGTATAAATTGCTCCGAATTTCTGTTTTCCAAATATCCATTTTCAGCGGAAACTTTGTCACTTTTATTTTAATATTATAGTTATTTCAAGCATCATTTCGTACTTTATATGTTATTTATTACAAGAGCTTTTTAGCGCTTGTGTTGTTCGTGAAACGAATATCTAAACGATCTGCCGATCACACTTTTTTTGACGTAACTTTACCGTTTTGTCGCAGAGGTGACCCGGACAAGACTGATTATTTCGGTAATACGTGCCTTCATCTGGCAGCAGCGAGGGGTCACGAATTCTGCGTGAAGTTCTTAGTGAAATTCGGATGTAATATCTGGTCGCTGGACATCGACCGACACTCTGCCAGGGAGCTAGCGGCGATCAACGGCTGCGAGAGGATCCTGCAGTTCCTGGATCTCGCCCAGGCCGATCAGGAGCTGAACAATCGCAAGAAAAGCCGACTGCTCCGGGAAAAGGCGGAGAAGGATGCGGAGAAGAGGTGTAACTGGAATGCGAATTGTTTTTGCGCCGCCTGTGTGCGAGAGAATAATATCGCAGTCACTCGTGGATCGTACAGTAGAATCGTGCTTCCACAATAGAACACGGATGATTTCTTTGCACAAGATTTCAATTTTCCTTTTTATATCCTCAAGGCCGGCAAATTGTTGTATTGAATCATATTAAGCTTTTATTAGACAAAACGATTATTAGACCTAACGATTTAGCTGCATTATAGATTTACAAATTACTTTTCAAAATAATTCTAAAATAACTCAGAGTTTTAATTTTCTTTTTTACATCTCCAAGACCAACAAATTGTTATATTGAACTATATTATATCAAATTTTTATTAGACAAATATGACGATTTAATTGTATTATGAATTTACAAATTCGTATTAGTTTTCAAAGTAATTTTCGAATAGCTTTGACTGCGATATGCTTATTTAATTTTATTTCGAGACCTGTTTCTCAAGATAAATGCACAAGTGAATAATTAAATAAGGAATTGTTTCGTAATTTAATTATTTCTATAGATAAAAATTTATATTAAATTAAAAATAAATTATTTTTGTTAGCTCTTTTTAATTATTAATCAATAGTTAAAAGTTTTATATTTTTATATTACTTTCCTTTAACTAATTCATTATTTCTTTTCTAACACGTCAAGATTTTTATACTGATTATTAATAATTAAATATTTATTTGTTAAGATTGAAGGAATATATGAAAAAACAGAAGACAGCAGAGATGAGAGCAGAGAAAGAGCAGAAAAAACTCATAAAGGATCGTGCTAAATCGGACTTAGACACAATGAATGAGATGAACGGCCAGAGGCTCGGGGTACTGACCTTTAGAGGCCGAATGAAACCTTCACCAACATTCAGCGATATCGTCGGTACTACTACAAAGAGGAACGGCAGTACAGTTTGTCGGAAAGCTCTAGCAAAGAAAGCTGTCAACGACTTTAAAGTCGTGGAGGTAAAAAAGATATTTTAATTCATCAAATCATGAAATAAAAGTCTCGAATTATTTAATATTATCTTAGAATTAAATTAGAGTGCTACCTTTGTATGTAGAATACAGAAAACTAGTAATATATATATATATATATATATATATATATATATATATATATATATATAATGTGTTAATATATATTATCGTATTGTAGGTCGAAGTAAATGGAAAGAAATCCATTCGAAGTTTAACCGGTGTTCGACGAGACTCCGAAGTTATGTACGTAGGCACATACGACACTCAGCCTCAACACATGGGCAGAAGAGGCAAAATCTCTGACGTGTGGGGCACTCTGAGTAAATCGCAGAGCACGCCCGACCTCTTAGGTGAAAGGATATACGACGAGGAGGAAGAGGACAGGGAGGAAGAGAATCTGAATGTTGCGAAGGACACTACTTTCCTTCAGGAACCCGCAAGCATCTTTAATCGACCTGGTTTTGGGTCAGTGGCCTTCAGAAGGACGGTTAGTCTTAATATACAAAGTTTAGACGATACTTTCTTTTACGACGAGTAGCTATATAAACTGAATGAAGATAGTAAACTCGCGTTAGTATTATGAGTCATATTTTCATTTTTTGATTCAATTTATTGTTTGTTGTTTTTACAATTATTCTAACGTCACGTTTCTTACGCATTGCAATGACATTTAATCTCGCAAGTGTAAACGTTCCACGTGACTATAACCGCGCAATAACTACCTAACTGGTAAGAAATCAGTGCGCTTTAACGTTGCGTCGGTGTATTTTCTCTTGCAACGCGAGAAGAGCTATCGCTCGTCCCAATTGAGTCGTGATTCCACAAAGAAACAAAGAAATGAGCTGTGGGAATTGTTGCGGAAACGCTAACGATCTCCTAAACGGTTGCACCATAGAATACCACCACGTAACATAACGGAGACAATCATCGCACGCACCGACCACGTAATTATGTGGCAAGAGACGAGTAGATTGAAAATCGAAGAGCGGCAGATAAGCTAATTAATTTTTTTTCTGCGTATAACCGTTGTATGAGGCGCATAATTTTCAGATAACATCTACGCTGGACAACTTACCGGTCACACAGACGGACGTTCAACTTCAAAACGGCAACGTTCCTGCGAATGGCTCTGCAAATGGATCCATAAACGGCAACAAGTTTAGTCCTAATGGACATAACGAGGAGATCAGTATAGGAAGCGCGGGCAGTTTAGCGCGCAGACAAAGTCTGTGGGACGAGGATTTGCTTTCAGGCAAGTTGAACAAACATTGTAGCAAACTGGAGAAATTATTATAAATATTTAATTGAAGCTCCTGGCTTTTCGCCGCAAAACAGTCTAATATACAAAATTAAATTTATTAAATTAAATTTTTATCTGTTGTATAGAAGGCGAAGAGACGGATGAGGAATGGACACCTTTGCAGAGATTTTTAGTCGCCAATAATCTGACGTCAATACAACCTGTCTTAGAGTCAGAACAAATTGATTTGGAAGCTCTAATGTTGCTCACTGAGACCGACATAGCGGCTCTCAAACTTCCGCTCGGCCCCAGGAGGAAACTCACCAATGCGATCGCAAATCGGAAGAAAGCTCTTAGCACGTCGGGAAGCGTCATCAAAGACAGCAGATTGTGAAAATAGTGAATATTACATCAGCGAATAGTGCTATTGACGAAATTATCCGTCCATTCACAAATGTGTGACAAAATAATTATTAATAATATGTGCAGAAGACATCAGTTAAAGAGAGAAAACAAAAATGAAGATTCTAATTATCAAAAATGAAATCAAGATTTTTTTATACGAGGAAAGCAAACTAATCGATAAAAATTAAAGAGAAAAAATATAAAAATTTACTAAAGTTATTATATTAACTTATTCAGCTTGATTGAATAACGAATTATATATTGTAATGGTGCTATTCTAAATTTAGAAATATATGTCTGCACAGTCTTTATCATTTATCATAATGTTCTTAATAGAATTCCTTTGTGCCTTGTAATTTACATAGTTTATCTACCATTTTAGCGTATTTTTCTACCATTTGCTGTTATAAAATTGAAATGATCTCTATCAGACCGATAATTGATTGATATTACACAATCGGCTAAATTATAATCGTAATTATAAAAAAGATTGTTAGTAAAGATTATATGAAAGATAGGAAATTAAGGAAAAAGAGAAAAAGAATAATTAAGTACCGATAACACTAATAAGTAAATGGTATATGCCATAATAAGAAAAATTCAATACACTGCCATAAAACATAAGGCGTTTATGTTTTACTCTATTTAGATCTGTGCATTGTATCATTGTACTATACACGAAAAATTTCGAAAATGTCAAAATTCGCATATTTATTTGGATAATATAATCATACATATTCTTATAACAACTTTTGACAGTAACTATAGTACTAATACTCTAATAGTACTAATTGATACATCAAACCATATATAGGATAATTGTTGGGTATCATTGATAGAATCTTCAATTGCGTATAATAACCAAGATTTGAATTTCATGATCATTTATAAGGCATAACTATCGAGATTATCTGCTAGGATACAATAATAATGGAATATTGAACATTGGCTAATTTTCAGAGTAGGCTAATTATGAGTACGTAGTTGAGCTACCTGCTGAATAAGAATTGTATGTAGAGGCACTTGGTTTATTTGTAACGGTACATATGATTTCTATTATTTATCTCTATTAATTTTCGAAAACGATATGTAACTTTCATATTCTCGTGACATAAAAAATTGTAATAATGTAAAATATATTATGTCGAATATTGCATATTGACTTCGTAAAAGATCGTGTATAGTACACATTATACTATACAAAATTACGCAAAATGTACAAAATAAATGTATGACAATAAAGTATGTATATATATGCACACAAGATGATTTCTATTCACATGGAATCGCATAGGAAAACAGTGTATAATATGGGTAAAAAAGAATGTCTCTACATTTATCTTCTTTTTTCTCGTGATTTATTTGTAAATGATTATCTTACAAACAAGAGGCGCAAAAATATACAAGCTTCTTATGTTCGCAAGAAAGTAACAGCACCATTTCACGCCTTGCCATGAACGCGTTGTGCCCGATCAAGGCGTCATGTTCGTGCAAGTCTCATGTCACGGTACACTTATTCTCGCGGAAGTGCACCACAATTTGCAGCAATGTGCATCGGATAATAATAGAAAACAGGAAATAAATAAGAAAAAATTTCAATCGTTTATAAAATATTTCATACGTAGTACGTGTTTATACGCATTCATGCGTTCGTACGACATAAATATAAAAGGTGTAATACATCATTGTATCATCATGAATTTAGGTCTTTATGCAGGATATCCTCAAATTAGCGACTTTTGCAATTCTACGCAATTTTAATAACATATTCTCCGAACAATTTATTGAGAAAAAATCGATAGTTTATCAGAGAATTGGCCGTTGAAATTATAATCACCAATTGCGAAATATCTCATATACATAAATATAAAATATATATTAAACATTTCAGTATATCTTTTATATAATTTACACAGTGAATAATCCCAAAACTGGAAGATTATCTCATCGTATAAAAAAAAATTTTTTAAATGTGAAAAGGAAAAGATTTAAAAAATATATAAACACGATCATATTATAAAAAATCAATTTTTATGGAATAATTTTATATTTGCTCGATGCATTGCAGTGTCTGATGCTACATCTCGTAACCGCAGATTTCCGACGAGATAATTCTCCTATGAGAAAGGGAAAGCTCCACGTGTGTGGGAAAATTCTTTTCGCTGACCTCGAAGTGTCGTCTCTCGCGCACGGATGGCCATTATGCAAGATAGGAAAATGCCAATCGTACACACCAGCAAACGGCTACATACGTATTCGAGAGCCGGCCACTTGTTAACGAAAGAAGAACTAAACGATTGCCACCGACGATCTTAGGATCAAGGTTTTGATTATGCAATCGGGAGACGTACCACGAACACATGAAACGGAACGGTGGCAGGTCGGTGCCTGTAGAGTTGTCTCGGCATCGTATTGCCGAGATTGGTGCGCTCACTTACGGATAAAGTGTACCTAAGTATGGCATCTTCGTACGAGATATACCTAAGTTACGAATTACTTTCTTCTATCATAATTACGAAAAGAACATTTACACAGGAGATTTCGACATTGGAACGAACGTCAGGAAGAAACGTGTTGAGAATAATTATATGAACGTAGACATTTTGGGCTGAGCAGCCTTCGACGGCTCTCACACATTTCCTTGCGCGAAAAAGACACCTTTCTTCCGTGACTACGTTCGATCTGCATACGGTAGACTTCTAAACGGTTCGCTCGTGAAAAATAAATTCTCCACGGTTGTTGCGTGTTGTCTTTCACTGGTGCGAGACTCTCTCTCTCTTTCTCTCGCTGCCGACCCTGCATCGCCGCCGATCTCATCACTCAAAAAAAACAAAAAATCAATGATTACGTCCTTGGGACTTCATTAACTGCCGATCACACGATAAATATCATTGTTAAAGCTATCGCATAGTAGTCAATACTAGTAGTGATAATATTAGCAATATATCTATGGTTATCGTTTGCCGTTATTAGCATACGCTATATTTACAACTGAACAACAATCTTTGCTTCTATCATGAATGCCGCGCGAGCGATCTCTCGCGAGGAAACGAATAGAAATATATATTACGCTTCTACGTGATTTTTGAAGAGCGGTTAAGCAGACTTTCCAGCCAAAAACGAGTAACAAAAATGTTACAGTTGGGTGTACATAGTACATAACAACCTACCAACTCGTCTTGAATATTCATAACAATGTGTAACAGCCTTGTCTATTTGCCACTCACAATTAATCGTCTTCCAAATTCACATAGAAACAACATGAGGCATACTAGCTAGAAATAATGTACATTCACAATCATCGTCTTAAGATAGGGCGGCGTCTCACTCACTGATACAAATCGTTAAACACAATGTCTCTTTATAAAATACATTGTTATATATATATATATATATCTATCTCTATATATATATATATATATATATATATATATAT